GGCGGCCGCCGGCTCCTCGGCCACCGCCTCCTGGACGCCGGGGAAGCAGCCCCCCGCGCGGCCGCAGAGGGGTGAGGAAATGAACTCACCGAGCTCAGGTCGCGGACAAGAGGAGCCCTGGACGCCGGCTCTCGCCCTCCCCGAGGCTGCAAAGTTGTGCGCTCGGCCCCGCTGGCTCGCAGCCTCCGCACGCTTCGCTTCGGGGAACTGGTCAGGTAGCGGGGATGTGGGGAGGAGGGAGCGGGCAGCTGCCTTCCTCCCACTTGGGCGCCAGCGAGTGGGGGCCAGGCGGCGGCGGGGATGGCAGCTGGGCACCCCTCAACCCCGCCACCTTTCCCTCCCCTCCTGGGGGCGGCGCTCTGGCCACCCCTCTCAGCATCGTGGACTTGCCCCCTCCTTTCCCCTGGAGCCGGCCGGGGCGCCCTGCCTGACTTCAGCCACCGATTCCAGCTGGGGGATCTGGATTCAGCGCTGATGTGGATGTCTTAGCCATCATCTGCTTCCTCCCTCCCCGCTGTGGCTGACACCCTACCAGCTCCCCACTCTCTTGGAAGGAGGGAAGCCTGGGGGGTTGAGAGCTCAGCTTGCCAGTGGCAACACCCAGAAAGATCAAGGACGTTATGCACACAGGGGTTGAGAGCCCCGACTCTGGAGCCTGTCTGCCTGGGTCTCAATGTCCAGCATTCACTGCTGTGTGATCTTCAGATTCCAGTTTCCTCATCTGTAAAACAGAGATGTAAGAATTTTATGACAATATATGTAAAGCCCTTAAACAGGGCCTGCCCATGGTAAGCACTATTTGAGTATTAGTTCATAATTATTGACACTATTTCCTGGGCTCTTGTTATGCACCAGGCACTGTGCTAAGCCTTTAGTATAAGACAGCTTTGTTAACCCTCTCAGCAGAAGTTTAATCATCCCCATTGTATGGATGAGGAGGTTGAGGCACAGAGAATCTAAGTCACATGGCCAAGGTCATACAACGGGGAAGTGACAGAGCCTGGATTCGAACTAATGCACATGCTTTCAGCCTCTATACAACTTGAACCACCCTGAGATCCAGGGGGAGCTCTGATTTGGGAGAAGAGAGGACAGAAGAATTTATTTATTTATTTATTTATTAACGATTTTATTTATTTGACACAGAGAGAGAGAGCATGAGTACAAGCAGGGGAACAGCAGGCAGAGGGAGAGGGAGAAGCAGGCTCCTCGCTGAGCAGGGAGCCCGATGCGGGGCTCGATCCCAGGACCCTGGGATCATGGCCTGAGCCCAAGGCAGACGCTTAACCAAGCCACCCAGGCGCCTCTGCAGAAGAACTGATCCAGACACAGAGCTTGAACCAGAAGCTCCTGCCTGGACCCCCACCCCCACCCCCACCCCCCCATTCCAGTCCTTCCCCTTCCTGACTCCTCTATTCTGAGGTGGGTACACTTGGCCAGTGCGTGTCAGTGGGGATGGGGACGGAGCAGAGAAAGCTTTAGAGACAGGAATAATGGTGCCACCACTGCCTCAGTTTCCTGGGCTGTCAGAGCTCACTCGTCCCACCTATTCCACTCCTCCGGGTGAAGGCTAACATAATAAATGTTTATTGCTTTCTCATCTGGTTGATTAAAACAAGGGCAATCCCTTAACGTGAGGACCATATGCTTAGCAGCTCAGCCTATAGTTTCGAACCATCAGACATTGTTTTCTCGGTATTTTATCAGTGTACACCCAAATAAAAGGGGGGCTGGGAAAGCTTTCCATGTTCTCAAAGGATCTTACATGTAAGCAAAGGAATAGCTTGCGAAAGGTTGGTTTCTGAGAATCCGGTAGCTCTGTGACTCCAAGCGGCTACAGGGCAGACACAGGGATGCTCAAATGGCCTTTTCCCCTTTAGAGCTGCTTTGTGTCAAGATCATGGCTGTCTGGGCCCTCTGCTGGCCTCCAGCACTGGCTGGGGAGGGAGGGAGCCTGGAGTGCTTGATTTGGGCTATATTGATCGAAGATCTCCATTCCCTAAATACCTTGAGAGTCGGGCAGTATTTCTAATTTTATTTTGCATATGGGTGTGTGGTGGGAAGGTGTGCATCTGGATGTGTGCGCACGCGCGTGCGTGTGTGTGTGTCTGTGTGTGAGTGTGAGGGGAGGGTGAGAGAGAGAAGCTAAATGCACGTAGGAAGATGGCAGTGGGGGAAGGGAGTATTCAGCCAGGAAAGAGTCTGGCTGTGGAAACGCAAATGGATAAGAACAATTACTTACATAGAAATATAGTCTATCAACAGGAAAGGATATTAAAGCTTCGGAGCTAGAGCGAGGGTTTCCTCAGTGCCCCCCCACCCCCACCCCCACTTAGTGAACGGAATAAGAGGAAGGGCAGCCAAATGTTATTTTGTTTTTCTAAAATTGGTGCTTATCCCTGACAAAATCGATAGGGAGGTCAATCTGAAAACTTCACCTCGATTCTGGACCCTTCAGAATTAAGCAGACTAAGAACGAACACTTCATTGCTATTTACCAGCTGTGGGACCTGGAGCAGGTCATGTAACCTCTCCGCTCTCAGTCTTCTCACCCCTAAAATGGGACGAAGATGTTACCTCTTGGTGATGATGATCACATGGGATAATGTAATTTAAGCACCTCTGTCCGGGCAGGGGATGGGACAGTGTTAGCTTCTTCCTCCTCCTAGCTCACTTCTGGGCCCTTATCTTTACCCCACAAGAACCTCTTGCCTTTCCAGCCAAAGTGAGAGCTCCTGGTCTATGTTGGAAATATTTTGGGGTCTCTTCCATATCTCCTAACAGGATGATTTGCCCAGCAGAGTCACTGAGTACAAGTGTATGGACTGATGAGTTGATACTGGTCTCTCTCTGAGAGGCAAAGCCATGTCCCAAGGTCTTTGAAATGTATGATAAGGACATAGTCACCACTGATCTTGCATCCTGCCACTACCCACCCCAACTACAGTCTCATCCTCCATAAACAGCATCAGAAAATAATTTAGAAACTACACTCCCATTGCCCTTGTCATATATTCATATAGTTAAGCTGGGACTGTACCTGCAGGCAGTCCCAAGGGAACAGCAAACACAGACAGGCATCTGATTGCTGGGGAGCACTTTCCCAGAAATATGTGTCTTACATCTTGCTATTTGGTGCTATTATTTGAACAAAATAAATTCCCTCCCAAGTGGCAATCTTTCAATTTTGCCTCAAAATGTTGTGTACCAAGAGAGGAACTCTGTGCAGCAAGCAGCTTCTCCCTTGGGTGGGGAACACCCCCCCCAACATGTCTATCTCACCCTACAATTCCCAGCTGTTTAGGATGGAGAACATTCCAAGATGCAAGGGGCCCCAACGAAGGAGGCTCTGGGGATTTTCCTTCATTCTCATACTCTTATTATTTCATATTGATCAGGGTGAAGATAAACTGGGGTCTCAAGGTTAACTGGTGCCCTGAAATTAAGATTTTAATAGACATCCTCAGACAGGATGCTCTTTGCTGCAGATAGCAAGTCATAGCCAGGGACAACCACAAAGTGCTCCCCAAGTCTCAGAAGGCTTAGTGAGACGCCATCCTGGCCTGCCTGGATCCAAAAAACATATAAGTATAATCTTTGTCTTAGCAACCCAAATACATGGAATAACAGAACCTCTATTTGGAGGTGGTAATGTACTTGGCCAACTACGTCTTCATTTTAGCAACAACAACATTACTTTGATGTAATAAAGTGCTTTGCAGCTTACAAAATAACTCCACAAAATTAAAATTTTATTTGACAAGTCTCTCAACAGCCCTGTAAGCTAGCTGGGACAAAAATTATTAAACCTATTTTTCTTGTAAGGAAACTGAGTTCAGAGATTTGCTGCATGTTAATTTGCAAGCCTTGCCTATGTTCGATTAAAAATGTGACTTAACATGGGAGAATCTCATTGATACTTAACTTTCTGGAACATCTCACTTGCATAAAGGAAGCAGGTATGTAACATACTCCCTCAGAATAAAAGACCTGCATGATGTTTATATGAGATATTTATGTAAAATTACATGAATAAAACAAGCCTGCAGCACATTAATCAAGTGCTCTCGAGCATTCTGCTGTGTGTGGTGCTGCAGAGCGTGTATGGAATTGGGAGCCGTGATGCTCATCAGCAAAACCCACATGTCAAGGTAGGAACAGCAGGTCTGAATGTCACCCTCTGGGTGACAGGTAACCCCAGCAGTCTCCCTGGTGATTGATGCCGAAGAATGGAATTCTTGGCTTGGCTTGGCAGAACCTCCTTTGGAGTGTTCAGGCTGTGGAAAAACAAATGTGATCTTTTACCAATTAGCCATGGTTTCCAGGGCCAAGCCGGCAGTCCTGGTAGGGATGTCTCTGCCTGTGGACCAGTGTGCAGCTTAGCCAAGGTGGTGGCAGCAAGATTAATTGGCCCTTTGGTCTCAAAGCCTGCAGGAGGCAGAGGGAGGGAGAAAGAGGGGGCATGGGCGGCGGCGGGGGGGGCGGGGCGGAGGAGGGAGGCAGAGGCCAGAGGGAAGAAGATGGGAAAAAGGGAGCG